AGGGCGTTCGCTTACGNACGCCCTGCAATTACAACAAAGTACTTGTGAAAATGGCCATCGATGGAGGTAAGGTTCCTTAGAAAAAGGATTTGCCAATTTATAAACACTTATTTTTCGTGCTGTAACTTCATAGGGCTAACATTTGATTTCATTTACCCCTTTAACTGTAAAGCATCAAATAACTGAAAACTATTCAAAAATTTCCTCTTTTGCTTATAATTCAACCCAAATTCCCCCTCATTACAAAAATTTCAACCTCAAGAATATTGAATATGAACCCCGGTTGAGAAGGGGGTGGCTCACTGAGTAATGCCCTTGCTCTATAACCTAAAGGTCCAGGGTTCAGTCCCAATATAGGTGGAGATTATACCTTAGGACTTTTCAACCCAATTTCCCCCTGTCAGTTGTGCAGGTAAGAGAGGCTGTCATGGAAATAGCGTCTATTCGTTGGGATGGGACAATAAACTGAGGCCCCAATGTGCTACAGACTGCACATGTAAAGATCCCTTGACAATTGGAAATCGCAAAAGAGCAGCCTTCCGAAACAGGAAACTGGATTAACAAGTAAATTTGCATGATAAATATTCCATTCCCTATTACAAGCATTTCTGTTTTATTGGCAACCTAATACAAGTGGTTTCAATGTATTCCTAATATTTTATAATATAGAGTCAGGTTATTTTTTTAAAGAACTTCATTTGATATAAATATTTTAATATAAATGTGATATTAATTGACACTGACACTTGCAATATTTTTATTATTATATATTATAACTAAAAAATTTGAACAATTTGTTTTTCAGTGATAGTGATGAAATGTGATAGTGATGAGATGAGATGAGATGAGATAGTGATAGTGATGGTGATGAGATGTGAGATTAAGAGATACTGATGTCCCATGTTCACTAATAATGTCATTCTACCTGTAATTGTCAATACCGGTACTGTTTGGAATGAACATTTGTCCCAAAATCTTAGTTTTGAATACCACTGATTGATCAACATATTATACAGAAATGATTGTTTACCATAGTAACTAACAGTTAAAAGTATTAACACTTCAATTATTACATTACATACTTAAAGTGGCGATATGTGCCAATTTACAGGGTATGTTATAAAATGTTATAATCATAATGAAAGAGAAAAAGTTGAAAATTACCTTGTTTTTACAACCAAATGAACAAGTAATATTCCCTCTAAATTAATGGAAAATCAAAATTTACTTGAAAATAAATGATCTACAACTTAATCAATCAATATTTGACTGTTTCTAATGGTATTAAAAGGTATATTCAATCATATTTCCATGTTTATTCCAATTCTGAAAATATCTTGGGGGTTTGGATATGGTCTGACAATTTTGTGAATATTACAATTAATGTAACAGTGAGTATTTTTCTTAGAAGAGATCAAAAATTGTATTATAGTTTGTATATTTTATATCTCAGGCATTGATGTTTTTTTTTTTTTGAATTGAATAGTACAGTAGGAACAGTAGTTTTTTTTTCAATAACTAAATGGATAACTTTAAACATCTATTCTTCTATAACATCTGAAGAAAGATGCCTATTGTGTTGTTATTAAAGAAATTGTTTCGAACAATTCTTATTAACAATTCACAAACTGTATTTATGAATAATAATACAATATGAATTATGTTAAATCGTGTTATTGTTTCAAGAGATGTTTCTGTAATTGTTCTTTGTTTTAATATTTTGTCTGTATATTTTATTCAGTTTTTTCCTATTATCATGTATAATTTTGTTATATTTCTTCATTCCTAACCATGGATATTGATTTAATTTACTTCCTTGGTGTAATAATTTCAGTCTACTTGCCAAGTCATGCTTGGTCATAGCCATGTCAATGTTGATGAGTATTGAACTTTTCAAAGAATGTATATAGCGGTATAAAAAATACAAGAAATTCATCAATTATGTTTTCTACAATTAGGTTGAGATGAAATCAAGAGTGAATAAAATTTATTTCATTATACTTATAATATTTCAATACTATTTTGTGTTTTTACCAATCGATGTCTACATAAAAACCGTTTCATTTTTGTATATATACTTTTTAAATGAATAAATCCAGTTGTCATTTTATGTTGTTGTCTTCTCATCTATTGAGAAGTATTGTTGGATTGGTAAACCAACTTTCGTAAACAAAAACAGCCTTTATATATTTAAGACCTGGAAACATTGGAGGACAAAATATGTTACATAGGGACTGATGCGCTATTTTGAGGAGTCGATTTTAGTCTTGAATATATGTAAGTATTCAAAAGTACCAGAAATGTATGAAAATCACACAATTCCGTTAAAGTACTTCAAACAAGGAATTGTACTCACTATTCTTATATATGTCTATATATCGCAGGGTAGCCTGTCTTGTGGTCGTTTTAACATTCAAACGCGGATAATTCTGGACACATATGGATTTGAAAGCTTTGTTGGTAAAAAAAATAGAGCATCTGTCCCTTTAAGACATTGAATCTCTGAGATGTTGTCAGCTAGCCAGCAAACACTACATAGTCTCCATGTAATTGAGCTGGAAAGTCCGATTTCACATTTTCTCTCACCTCATCTCTGATAGCCAACGTGTTTCTGATCATTGTTCAGGCTGAGAGAATCTCTGGTTCAGGGCGGGACAGTCAGGAACAGTTAAGCTTTAACTGAATTGCTGCCTCCTTCACTAATTTACCATTATTGCACAACCAGGCTATTCCATTGCCGCTTTGGAAGATATCTTACATAAGGATTAAATTGACCAACAAGGGACTTACTTGTTTCTGAGCTATTGTCTTAGTTGTCTTTGTGCTGGACAAGCGGTTGCTTTCAACAAAGAAGGGTTTATTATAAAAAAAATAGACCTGCTGCTCACTTTGTTTAATATTTTATGAAGTTTATTAATGAAGTTTTAAACTAATCATGGTTTACACGAGAATAAAAATTATGATTAATCCTATACAAAATTGTGATTATAGTAAATTATATAAGCACTACATAGTGAAATTTAAAAGGTTATATTGATTATAAATAGATCACATGTTGATCTATATAATAATTTGGCACTTGAATCCCGGTCGCCGTCACACAATTTTCAAAGTGAACGAACAAAGAGTAAACAATGGTTTATCATTATATGGCACAATGCTACATTGACTAGATTATTACAAGTTGACTACATTAACAAAGTTTAAAACTTAACATAAATGGTATACATAATCAACGAAATGGTGAATATATACAATGTAAAGTTGTAGGATGAAATGATAGGATATTTTGTCTCTTTGAGATACCCCAAGATACTAATTGAGCTCTTCAAACGAGACGTCGCTATCCTATATCCTTGATGAACCCATTTTACCAATTTTTGGATTTATTGTTTTTCTTTTTCCTTTTCTTTGTCGGCTTCATTTTCTTCTGTAAATTTAGTTTTTTCGTCAACAGGACTTTCTTCAATAACAACTGGCGCTTCTTCTACCTCAGCTGCCTTTTCACCATTAATTTCAACTTTGACTTCGTCTAATTCCTGATCTGATTGAGCTTCAGAGTGGGGTTTACTTCTGAGCAGACACTTTTTAACTTGTGCAACGGTTGCTCCAGCAGAGAAAACGAACTCGTACAGAATTCCAGCGATGACTCCTCCTATTAGAGGACCAATCCAAAATACCTGAAATGTACATTAATAAAATTTATTAACTTGGTGCCACTTTGTTGCTACTTCCAGTAGAGTACGCGTATACTAAGACGTCGCAAATCAGAATATCATCACTGAAAATGTGTGCACTTAAGTAACTCTTGGGAAAGGAATAAAAATTTGAATTATAAATAGTCATGATAACCATCAACGGTAAAATCAGAGTCTACACAATATAGGCTCTGGTAAAATTTATGTGAGATGTAGATGGATGACGTATCTGATCACCATAGCAAATTGCAAGGTCGTAGATAGAAGTACTGACATCAATAACAAAGAGGTTTATAATAAAGAACAAACGCCACTTGTTTGATAAAATCGGATAGAATGTGGTTGCGTACCACACAAGAGTGTTTGTTTAAATCTGAATAGATTATGATAAAATATAAAGCAGTATTGTTTATAGTAAGATATTTACAGAAATGATAATCGACCATACAGTCGCCATGGTAAGTTCAGTTTCCAATGAAAAATGGTAAGAAAACCATAAAAAGGGTAATTGTAGACGATGCAGCAACTGATTGTTTTTAGATCTTCGCAACCCCAAGCTGCCAATGAGTTAAACTTATGCATAAATGTGCCCGTGATTATCCCTATATGTCAATGATCTAACAACAGCTTGGAAGTATTGAGTAGCCTAAGTGACGGAATCACTGAGAGAAGATTGAATGATACAACGGGAATACATGTTCATGTATGTTGTACCATGACTGTTTCAGTGCAGCGGCCCCAACTCGCAGCCCCGATGGCTAGTTTTTCGGGCAAGGCATTAAAAAAAAAATTTTTTTGAACGGCCCGATTTTATTTTTTTTTTTATTTAAAAATGAAATCATATCTTTGCCCGAATATCCTATACTATAACTGTATTTTTTTTAAATTGATAGCCCGATTGTATTCTCCTATAATAATATTTCATAATTCATATTATTTAAGGATCGAAATCACTGCCCGAATGTCATTCGTATGATTATATTTTTGAAATCGCAGCCCGAAAGTAGTGTTTAGAACTTTTACACAACCAAAAAAAGGCAATTCGGGCACAGATTTCAATTTTTTTCAAAAAATATTGTATGACATACAAGACATCTCATGTGTTCTAGAAAGAGTGAAATACTCTGCCAATAACAATAGTGTTCCTCTCGAAGAGTTTGCAAAACTCTCATAACTAAGTTAGAAATTCGGGCAACCCCAGAAATTGATAGTCTTAATGAGTTAAAATTGCACACAAAAAAAAATCCAAGAAGGATAACGCCCATGAGCGAAATGAAATTAACTTCATTGATCGCCGAGATAGTTTAACCATGTTTTCAAATTTATTACAAATGTGTCTTTAAAGTTTTATCTGAATCACAATCTTAAAGAAATATCTAAATTTCGTCACAATTTTTGGAATACCATTACTCCACCAGGTTTAACACTCCAGGTGGTTCGACTTTTAAGACAGAATTTAGAATAGGTTTGCATCTGTTATAGTCTTTAGGTAATTAAGTTTAGTAAAACTTTGAGATGATATCCTAAAGTTAAGAATGGTACCAGGTGGTCTAAGATAAACAGTGGTATGTAGATAAAAGGTTTCATTATAAACTAGTCAGCAAGTAGTTTATACTTGAACATAAATACAACTTTTAACAATCTACTATTTTCTTTATGTATAGAAATCAAATGGAAAGAAGTTTCTCTCTCCTACACCTTATGGAACTAAAATACAACGTATACGGCGTCCGCGGTGTTTCATTTTTTGCGGTTGCCCTTTCAAATTAACAACGTAACGACGAATCGAAAATACAAACAGAAATGTTTTCAAATGTATTTTCATCCTATATTATGTGCTTTTTGTTTGATATTTTGTCAAGTTGACCATAAAAAGATAAATTTTATAATATAAATAGAAAAAATATGCTGACATGAAATATTTGAAACATCTGCGTAATATTCACATTAAATTGAGACACTGCAGGATATCAAGTGAAATAATACAGATATTAAGAAAGAACTGTGTGAACTAATGAATATTCTAGTATAATTAATTAGTCATATAAAGTTCTTGTTAATTAAGTGTAATTAATAAAGGGTGTTTATTGTATGATCAAAGTTAAAATTAATTTCTTTCCTGTATAATTTGATTAGTAGGTCTCAAACACATTGTAACTGATTCAGTCCTATCGATGGTAGAAAAGATGTACATGTAAAATATTTTGCTCTTGTCGGTTTTCGTCTTGTCATAAACGTTTTTAAGTAAAAAATGCACAACACAAGTATTTGATTTTAAATTCATCTTGTAAATTCGTCTCAACTGAAAATTTATATAGGAATTCAGTCGTCTGATATTTTTCACTTACTTACTAATTTGATCTCAATGTTCCGGATAGGTGTCGCAAATCTGGGATTGCTGTCAATTGAAGAAGACCTGTTTTATTATTATGTATTGTACGTTTTTAATATTGACACATCGCTGCATTCCCAAAAGCACCAAGTAATGGCCAAAGTAGGAAAAATACACCTTATTGTTATCTGAACAAATTGTGCCTACAGAATAGTCGGCTGATATTTCTAACAAAAATATTTTCCTATCTGAGACTAGATATATAAGTTAATTTACTTCAAAGAGAATATCTTTTTTAAGTTATCATTAAACTGAAAGGTCTTCATATTTTATCATTGTAATAAATACATAAACATTTTACAAAACTCTGAAACTTGTTTGATAACCTTACAGCAAATGTCAGAAAATCAGAAAAAATTCCTAATCATAATCTCCAGTGTAAAGACTTTTAACTAGCGTATTATAATCTATAACTTAGTCGTTCGGATAGGGTGTCCCTGGTTACAATAGGCTATGCACATTAGATATCCCAGACCGATTGGAAATTGAAAAACATTCCACTCAATGTACACTACATGAAGTGCGTCAAAACAGGTGCAGAGAGTTGGAACGTAAAATCCCTTTTCATTTCCACCACTGTAACACAAGCTTGATCACCGATCATGTACTCACTGGGTAGCAACATAGTACATAACTCTGTAATCTAGTTTCCGATTCGAGCCTCTGAGAGTCATTGTCTTATATCACCACAAAATTCAACTAACGAAACTGTAAGTATTTACTTACCCAATGGTTAGACCAGATGCCCATCACCAATGATGGACCAAAACTTCTGGCAGGATTTAAACCACATCGTGTGTATGGAATCTGAAAAGAAATCACAAAATTTTGAAATAAGGATTATAAGGTTTGACAGCATTTGTATGTGATATATTTTCATCTTTTTGCTTTTAAGTAATAATTGCTCAATGTTCTAGGTCTGGAGTTGCAGGACAAAATGTTAGGACAAATGTTCTCTGATATGTTTACAATATTGTTTTGTATTCAGGTGGTATTAAAATGAATATCAGATATCTGATTTTTTCGGTTAAGAGATCGGCTATTTTAAACCATGTCAGTTTGAAACTGAAACGAGTGTCAAATCTGTCACTTGTCAGTCGAGCTGCAGTTGTAATATTAATTCCTGTAAGCGATAATGTCCATTAGTTTAAATTGGAGATAATTTCCTACTCTATCTAGTATGGAAATTCCATCACTTGGGGCACCTGTCACTATGACTATCAGAGATTTGGTAAGAAGACAGATGTAGTTTTAACACTTGTCAGACATGTGGTACGTATTATATGTCATTCCCTAGGGGGTCACAGATCTCTTTAAGGGTCAATAACAGAAGCTACTGTTTAAAATGTTTAACGGCCAATCAAATGGTAGTATTTTTAAAAGTTGTGAAAGTGGTTCGTTTAATGAACTAGAAAGGCACGCTACGGGAGTAAACGACTTTCTGACATGATGCTTTTACTCTCACAACTACCACATTCCTTACAGTCATGTCTCATTCTGGAACAATTAATCATTAAAATCGTGTTTGACCAAATTCATTGGGGTTTTCAGATTAAATTTGAAAGATACACTTCATACATTTTAAATAGTTACAAACACATTTGACTTTTAAGAGTACACTTACACACTTCTAATCTTTTTTGAAATGCCACAAAGATTAATTATATATTTGACATGGACTACAATAAAACATTAATAACAGCCCCAGATTTGCATATAATTGAAAGTCAAATTTACACATGTTATAATTGGTTTGAATAATATAATAGTATTTACACAGCTAAGTTGACCTTTATAAAATTGGAAACCAACATCCTGTGTGCAATTATAATTTCATTAGAATATACCATTTGGTCATTTTTAATGAGACGAATAAGAAGATAAGGCTGAATTCAGAACAAATGGATCTTGACAATGAATTCAACTGCAATGTAATTGTGCCATTATTGGTTCTATTGGTTCAGATAGTAAAGGCAAAATAGTTGTTTTTTCTTCAAGTTAAGACCCTTGACCCTTTGCACTCTCCTGTCAATCCTTGTAGATAGAGAGATTCCACATGTGAACAACATTCTCAATAAATTTTCGGATTTAAAGTCTGATAATTTAGAAATAATTGTTATTTTATATGCCAGGGTATATCATTAAGTAAATAAGCATATGGAGAGAACAGTGTTAGACTAGAACTGGTACAGTCACCCCTGGGCTGTCAACTGATAAACTTGGTGACCCCCTCCCTTCTTTATCTTTAAATCTTATCAACTAACATCGAGCAAATTTGGTTAGAATATCAAATAGTTAATAGGTTCAAAAATTGCACATGGAATATTATGTTGCAACGAAATTAATATGCTATAGTAGCACTGTCTGTATTAAGAATATTTGGAGATCATTTTCTGTTCATATTACACCTCGTCCAAGAGACGCACAATAAAAGTGTATCACAGACAATGCATACTATCTTAAGTATACTAAGGATTGAAAATGGTCAATTAAATAACGTTATACAAAGACTCGGTCTGACTGGGAAGATAGCTATTTAATATCAATACAACTAATATACGATCTGAAAATTGTCTGGTAAACTCATCAGACAATTCTTATCAACAAGTAGCTATTATATTTTGGGTGTTCTTAATTTTTTTTCACAGAGAAACGCTATATATTTATAAACATACTATAAGCTTAACGTTTAGAAATCTTGCCAAACCCAACAGAATTATCAAATAAATCATTTCTATATGTCTCGATAAATTAAGAATTTAAATAAAATATTGAGAACGTTTTAGGAGCCATCTCTCTTAGCCCAGCGTCGCCAGCGATAATACCACATTCAAAATAAATGTAGTTAAAATGTTAAACAATGGAACAATGCCTATTCCTCCCCAACCCCTCCCCCCGGAAATCAGAAATCATATTGCTCATAAATTTTGATATATTGTTAAAACTATTTTGAGCTTTGAAACATTTTTGATACCACCAGTTTTTGATACCAAACAGTAATGTATTAATTACGATCAGAGTGTTTTGCTTTGTGATTTCATGTCGATTATATAAAAAGAATAATATGAATACTTACAGCAAACAGATGGCAAACCATTACAGCCAAACCAATAGTTAGTGGTTGAGAACCCCTCAGATCTCTTCGTTTGGTATCATTACTGGCAAATACAGCCATAACCACTACGAATGAAACCAATAATTCAATACCAAAACCTTGAGCAGCGGTGACAGATTCACCCAATTTAGCAGTAGCACCAAGATCTGTTCTTTTATGAGGAGGTGTTAAACCAAATAGTATACCAGCTCCCAGAACACCACCAAGACATTGAGCAATAATATACAGGATACCTCGTACGATGCTTACTCTTCTGGTTACTAATTTAGCCAAAGTAACGGCAGGGTTGACATGCCCACCACTGATATGAGTAAATACCCAAACCATAGTAGCTACTGTTAATCCAAACGTAAGAGAAATCTGGACAAGGTTTGGATGAGAGGACCATGTTATCCATGTTCCACATCCTAGCAGGACGATCACCAATGTCCCAAACGTCTCTGCAGCCAGAGATCGCCACAAATTGGGACTGAGCAAATCTTCAATATTCTCCTGCAAGCGAAACGAAAAATTGATGAATACCTTTATCCGCTAAATCGTTTTGAAAATTCATCACACCTTATGAAATTACAACTCAGTACTGAATTACAAATTAATACATTTAATCAAGCAAGAAGTAAATTTAATTTAGCGGTTAATTAAATGAACGACAATACAGATCATTCATTAATTCAGAATAAAATACTGCTGTACATTACCTTCATGATTCCGTTCTTCATGCCTTCAAGCCAGAGCACGCTATCTTAATAAACTAAGATCTTGAGGGGTGGTGATTTTAAACTTAAATCTTTCTCCTTATTGGTTGAAAAGGGCGGGGCGCCGGTTCCTGTGGCACGCTATCCTAAAAAGTGAATTGACTTTGACCTATGACCCCGAGCTATGCACCATATTTGTATAAACAATGAAATAATTTGTACATTTAATGTAGTCCGAATTCTTGTCATTTTTCCCAGTTAAATTGTTCTTTCCGCCATCATAGTAATCTGATCTGTAAATGGTATATTCTGTGATTTCTGGTTGACCTTAAAATGCCATTTTATTTAACAAGTCTACTAATGATGATGAAAGGAAATGGTATTTAATCTAAATCTAGAAAATAATTATTTAAGTCATATCTCGCTTAATAATCAATTTTGATTGGTCGACCTCGTAACATTTTTGAAAATTTACAGTACATTTGCTTGATTAGATTCGTGATCTACACAATACAGATTTTGGTTTAGCACATGAATAAAATCATGATGCAAAACCTGCTAAAAACGTTAGAAAGAGATCTGAGAAGGTCATAAGTGTATTGTCTCCGAATTTAAGTATTTGCTACTAAATTCCTCAAGTGAATTGAAACAAGATGAAAAAACGAACAAGAGTTCATTGTGAATTGTGTGTAAGATGTTAAGAGGCTGTACAGTTACATCTGTTGTTCTTTAATAGAATAACACTTGTCTTATCACAATGATAATATGTTATATAAAAATAAAGTGTACCATTTCACTGAACTTCACATATTCTTACACTTGTTTCACATCTCGGCATGCTATCACTTAAAATACTACTTTAGCATTTTAAACTTTTACATATACCCCACAATCCGATAAATATGAGAAATGGTAGATTGTGACTTGACAGAGATATAGATTGAAAACGGCCCTAAGTAACGCGTTCGTTTTTGTATATGGCTGCACTGAACCATTTTCACTTAAAGCATTGACAGTAAATTACAAAATAACGAGTAGGATTTAACATAATACCAGCAACTTCGTCACACCAAAAAGAAAGCCAGACGGTATGAGTTCATCAATTCATCACCAGTCATCGTTAGATACGAACAGATTGATTTCCATGATTGCATGTGTCAATAATGTCGGGGGTCAGGGTATCGTACAATCTTAAATTCTAATTGATAATTTTGCATCTAGAAATACTAGTCGTGAACCACCTGGAATTAAACTTTTAAGCCCAGATGCATGTTATATTAACTTCAGATTGTCATTAGTAGCATCTTATTACAATAATTAAATATATAAATTACTTTCTTTTATAATAAACAATTTCTACCACACGGCTTTTGTATACTAAATGACTGTGAATCTGTTTTTCTACCTTCTTGTGGTTATTGAAAACGATCGTCCAACTAAAAACCCCCTATTTATCCATTATCTCATGTGATACAGAGATGTCGTTCCTTGCGACAACGACAACGATTGAATGAGATACGTTGCTTCTAACATTTTACAAGGATTTGTCAAGTGATGGTAATATTGCGATCTGAATTTAGTCTCTACCCTTTGAGCTTTAAGGGGATAATTCTGGTACTTTCTTATGCATTTAATTGACTTGCCATTTATATACAAATGCCAAATGCAGTTCGTATAGCTTACCGATATCATTACCGTAATTTTAGGTCTTTTATTTGGTTCCCAATGTTTCAGACGAAGGTTCCCTAAATAGTATGCTTTTTGTCGGCCTTGATTCACCATCAATACTTCGATGAAGTTGTTCGCACAGTCGACAAAGATCTGAAGCACAGGTCATTATAAAGAGCTGTTTATAAAATTATCCACACTACTGAATTCTTTATACTTATATTTCTAGGATTTTTTAGTTTAGTTAGTTCTTAGGAAATTGACTAGGAGTGACCACTCTTTAGACCATTAGTAGCCTACCATTCTTTCATGTATAGAGGTTTTCCAATCTTTTTAATATTTCAGATGAACTTGAAATCAAATTCGATGACCATAATATCCCTTCCAGAACTCGTCAAACATTAATGTTGTAGTCTGGAAACTGTCCAAAATGTACTTTAGCGCCGTTTCGTCAGCTATTCAGTGATACAACTAAATCTCTACCCAGTAGGGCTGAATGATAAAAATAATTGTGAACATTTGAGAAGTAGGTTACATTTAACTTTGTTTTGAAGTGGTTTAATATTACACTCGGCCTAAAAGAATTTAAAAGAACTTGAAAGTAAACGTAATACTGTAATTTTAATAAAGGACCCGTCACATACGCGACGTATTTCTGCACATTCATAGATTAAAAGATTGACGAAAGACTTCATTTAGATATCGAAATTATACCACACATTCTCAGTTCCCCTTACATTGAAAGTGGCCATATCTTTTCTTTTAAAGCCATAGATATGATTGCTGGTTTCTATTAATGCCTATAATACGTTCACAATTGCACATACGCACAAATGATCTTGCATTTTCGTATAGGATCATGAGAAACAAGATATGAATATTATAATTTATTCTCGACCGTTGGTGGAACAAACCTTGTACCTTCAGATTTATGAATGGGTCACAGCGCCTTCTCATTATTTTGAATTGTAAGGTTTATGGTTTATAAATATCATTAGATCGAGTTGGAATTATCCACTCAACATAATAAAGAATATAGTAAAAGGTTATACTAATTTATTTATATTTTTCGCACCGAATCTGAATTCTGCTGACCTTTCATTTTGTATTAATATTTTACTGTTAGCCAACTTTAATCGATACATCTATTTTTTAAGGGGGGCTCAACTATATGATTCAAAAAGTTAATAAAGAAACTATATAATATATACATTGAAAATATGTGTTTTAGTGTTTCACGGGGTTGACAATCAATAATTACACCAGCTGTAAGCGAGGGAGTTGTACAGCAAACCTACTTATAAAACAGTTTAAGTCAATTCCTGCTGTTATTTGGTGTTCAAAGGCCATCAGACAATTGTTTGATAATGATGGTTTGGATTTATAAAATATCTGGATTGAAATATATTTGTTTAAAGGGTATAGATGTCTGAATATTTGCTATACCATAAGTTGAGGTCAAGTTCAACACCTATTAAATTTATAACCACTATCTGAATTAAAATCCAACCTTAGATTCCTCTATATTTAATACAAAGACCTTTAGATTGACTTCATTGATTCTTATATTCTAATACCAACGACTTAATGATATGGATAATAATCTAATTCAAGCATAAAATTCCCTGGTAAAATTTTGGTGGAATTTTAGGGGAACCAAACATTTATTCCTAGAAAAACTGGGAAACGGAAATACTTAAACCTTTCGGCTGCTAATTGGCGTCTCTTTTCAACTGTTAAAATTGACAGATACATTATCTGAGAATCTGGCATGAATTTAATTTGAAGCGTGCCCTTAACCCCCATCATATGATTCCAATTAAGATATTAACGGCCACTCGCCTCTGGTCATTCTTCACATCAATAGAATATTAAACAAGCCATGAAATAAAGACTGGACAGAAACAGTTCTAAAAGTAAACGGTAGCATGATACTAACTGGACGTGTCAGTTTTATCAACCATTCCTTCTTATATAAACTCTAGACATTCCTGACTCAGACTGCGGGCTGTCTTTGAACATTCTTCAATTATTAACTTGTCTTAAGATTTTATAAACAATGTAGTCTCTGTCTGCAGACTAGACATTATAATAATTCTTTCAACTTCACAAACAAACCCTGTTGTCGTGATCGCTTTTTGATGGAATCTCGATTGAGTATGGGATCAATAATTTACGATTTTCAACACATTTTTAATTAGTCCTTTATAATATATAGACACTTCAGTTTTGATTCGATATTGGTAGTATGTTAATGTGAATGTAACTTGATAAAATCTCGGCCGATTTTATTGTCATTTTTTCTAAAGTTGTAGTCCTTTTGCTTTCTAGAAATGTCAACATTGGCTTGTGGATGAGATGGAAAAGTTTTGATCGGATTTTGATGGAACTTGTTATGCTTGTAAAATTGTATGCGGATTTTTGTTACCAAATTGCCCAGGCTATTGCACGAAAGTTGTTGATGTAATGCAGGTGAAAGAGATGTTGTATTGGCATTGACGTTTGGTTTGAAAAAATTTGGCTGGAAAGCAGTTGTATTGAAAATATTTCCTGTTCTTATTATTAGGAAGCGCTCAAATTTGAACTTAACCTATTTTTTCTCCAAGGTCAGTTGACAACTGTTGATAATAGAGCGTTCATGGGGAAATTCGGACAGATCAATACAGAATAGATGGACGGGTAGACGCGAGTTTCAACAGAAATGTTTCTGTATTAGAATGGAAGTTGATAAATGATGATATAAGTTGCAACACATTTTAAGTAGGTTTAGAAACAGTAATGCACCTTGACCTACTTTTGAAGTCAAATTTTATCACAAGTTATTTCCCTTGAAATGCAAAATTTTTTGAGGATTTAGAGGCTGCAGATTTTGATTTTACTTGTATGTTTTGTCTGCATTTTACTTTGCTTTTCTTGTTTGTTTTGTCGGCATTTTACTTTGCGATCTATTTCTTCTGCATGCATTGTCGCTCTCACTTATACATACATGGACAGACTTTTAAGTCACTTTAAAGTAGGTTGTTAAGATATTTACCCCCACCCCCAAAACAAAATATAAAAATATAAATCTTGTCCTCTTTCAACGACCAACTAATTACT